CAAAAATTAATATCTTGTTAACGATTGCGAATTTTGCAAAATGGTAGAGGACTTTTCGATCCAGTTTAATCTGCTCTACCAGTCCACAAGATATTATCCGGTTATTACCGGACACCCTGTATATATACACATACACAGGGTGACTCATTTTAATGTCCCATCCCAAATAACTTTTATTTTTGATCTTAGAAAAAAATGTTTCAGACAAAAGTTGTATGGCTTTGAGGGAGACATAAGATGATAACATTGGTTTGACCTTGAGTAGTGTCGTCAAGGTCAGGACAAGGTTACTTTGAATTTTTTAAATGGAACCCCCTATTTTTCATTGTATATTCTTGTAGCTTATTTTGAGAGCTTTCCAAAACACATGGATAAAATGTTTTTTGGTTAAGTAAATAAATTAATTCGAGATTTACTTAACCAAAAAACATTTTGTCTATGTGTTTTGGAAAGCTCTTGAAATGATCTACAAGAATGTGCAATAAAAAGTAGGGGGTTCCATTTAAGAAATTGAAAGTAACCTTCACATGAGTAACCTTCGAGCAACTATTCAAGGTCACACTAATGACACCACCTTATGTCCCCCTCAAAGCCATACAACTTTTGTCTGAAACATTTTTTTCTAAGATTAAAAATAAAAAAGTTATTTGGGGTGGGACATTAAAATGGGACACCCTGTATAATAAAATAATGAACATAGAAAATATAAATTATGAAATATTATTTTAGCACACCGAAGGTGGTGCACATGTGATGAACGAATAGCGGGAATGAAATGGCCATCGCTTTTGCCTTCTGAACATTCCTGCCAAGTGCCAACTGCCAAGACTTATTCCTGCAGTTAACTAATGTGTAGTTGGAGAGCCTGTCGTATTTTTCAGACAGAAATCACATGCTGACACAGTTATAAAGAATAGTTTTGTGAGAGTATTGTGAGTAGTGTGATGAAAGAACGTCAGAAAAAAATATTTTTGAAATTACGCATACACATGTACAAAATGTAACTAGCGTATTTTTTCGCAAAAAAGAAATAGTCGCTCTCTCCTTTTCGAAAAAAGAAGAGAACATGAGAAGCAGACTTACGTGTATTATAACGTTGTACAGCAGATAGGCATGGAATATAAGATGAAACCTAAAATATTAGATAATGTTTTGCCTTTTTTTATTCGGTGACTAAATTATATAATAAAGCATATGCAATGAAACATATATTACAAGATGTTGGAATTCAATCATTGTGTTATTAAATATATATACATGTTTATTAAAAAGTTGCCATTTTATTTTGCTAGTTTATTAATTTAATAATTACATATTTTGTAAATTATTCATGATTGTCTTCCGGCTTGATATAATTGTAATACCGTATTGTTGTCATTTATACATCGAAGTGAAGCCGTGCAAGACAAATCACGGATAATGCAAAAGTAAATCGTGATAATTGTAAATAATTTAATCGTTCTTTCGATAAAATTTTGTACAAAGAAAGAAAAGCTTCAATAAATAAGTAAAATATGAACATATTGAAGTATGTTCAATTGTATTATGAATTGTAATACAATTCAAATACAAAGCAAGTGTAAAATACTGTTTTATATTTCTTAAAATTATTGTGGAATTTCGGATTAAAACCAGATAAATATGCATTCGTAAAATGATAGAAGTTTGTGTATGTATAATAATGATATAAATACTTATAATCATTGGAATTTTTCATTTTACAAATAAAGTAACATAAGATAATATAATAATGGCAATATTAATTAGAATAATGGATTTTGTAGTTTGAGAAATATGTAAAAGAATGAGCGAGCGAGAGAGAGAGAGATTGTTATTTATTGAACGCTCTAGAAACTTTGTCTTCTCAAGCGCTAAACAACCATACAATTTAAATTGCATTACAATATAAAAAAGCATTTAAATACAATAATTTCAAATAAAAAAATACTAATACAAAAAGAAATAATAGAAATAATAACTAATAACAATAATTAAAATTAATAAAATGAAATAACCGTACAATACAAAACAAATAAGATAAAAAAATAAGATCTAAAAGGAAAAACAATTACAAAAATAAAGAAAAAATACAAATTACACAAATAAAAAATACAAAAAGCAGATACAACTTTTCCAACTACATTATCCAGCCGCATCGTAAAATTAAATTTTAACATTGTTAAATAATTATATAAGCTGACTTTTAAATGTTGCTAGAGAAGAGGCACGGCGTATGCCCTGCGGAATCGAGTTTCAATTGCCGCATTGCAACAAAACGCTCGCCTAATAAAACTCTGTACGGCACAGAGATAACAACAAGGCATCATTGCTCTGTCCCCTTATATTTGTTAAGGACATATAATTTAATTTAAAAAGAAAATATTTGGCGCCACCGCTAGCGCTATCGAAGCTAAGATGATCTAGGTCGAGAGGGCGCTGATGGATGTCGGTGGTTGATAACGACCTTTGACTATATAATCATGGACCGCTAGTTGCCCCGTCCCACCACCCCTCTCACCCATAAGGTTATGTATCCAACATGAAGTTGGCTTTAGCCCCGCCCCGTGTGGCAAATTGCGGGAAATTTAAAGGATAT